TGCATATATGTATATATATACACACACACATTTATATATATATATATATATATATATATATATATTCACATATATCTTCACTTACGGGGCCTATTTATAAGACCGAGTTGAGTGGCATTATTTCATGCAGTCAGTTTTTTATATATGCCACTATGTAGGCATATAATGACATTTCCAAACAACAGAACTAAGGGGTACTATGTTATATATATCAACTATATATTTAATTTTACAATAGGTGAAAACATATTGACCAATAACATAAAACCCCATTAAAAATATATACATTTGTGGGATATATACAATTTACTACTAAAAACCGGCCTACGGGCACTATTTTAGAAGGGTAGCCTACGCCCCCATACATCATTTTAAACATGCTAGAGTTGCGGGGCCTTATGTATGCCCCACATTAAATATAAACCCCACAAGTATGGTCTCAAATAGACCGATGCCCCGTAAATGGAGGAATGTGACTGTATATATATATATATATATATATATATATAATATATATATATATATATATATATATATATATATATATATATATATATATATATATGTATATATATACATATATGCAGGTATATATATATACAGAAATAAACGTATAAAAAATTAAAGAACTTTGTATACTGCATTTCCCTTCAAAAATATATATATATATATATATATATATATATATATATATATATATATATATATAAAGTTACAGTCAGTAATATAACTGTCCATTAAAGAGCCCAACAATGGTTTTGATAAACAACAAGGTTTCAGAATGTTCTGTTTATAATATTGTTTACCTTCAAAAAGGCAATGTCAGTTTGCCAAAACAATGAAAATTTCAATGAGACCTTCAAAGGAAGGTGAAGGTCAAGGTCTTTCGGAATATTTTTAACAGTTAATCTTTGAAGATTATTATGTTCAAGTTTGAAGACAATCCATTCAAAAATAACAAAGTTACAGCCAATAATAACCAAAAAAATGAAAATTTCAATAATTTGACCTTCAAAGTCAAGGTCATTGATGAGTGAATGTGAATGGTCTGACTGGTTATTTTTAAGGGATATCCTCGAAGATTATTATGTTCAAGTTTGAAGACAATCCATTCAAAAATAACAAAGTAACAGCCAATAACAACATGAACAAGCAAAAATTGGACTTTTAACCTTGAAGGTCAAGGTCATTTATGGATGAAGGTCAAATTTAGTGTGGTCTACTGAAAGGTCTTGTCCCAAGGGCCAAGTATGAAGACAATACACCAAGAAATAAAAAAGTTATGATCCAGGTACAAGTTTTCGGACGGCAACGGCAACGGGTACGGCAACGGCAACGGCAACGCCGACCTGACTATAACAATACCTCTACTTTTTTTTTCAAAAAAAAAAAAGTCGAGCTAAAAACTTTTAAACGACATTACTGTAAATAAGGCTATAATTCTTGACATATTTGATGAATTTCCTTAAAGACAAATGTACAAAAAACGTAAATATTGGAAGTTCTGCAAAATAATAATCAATAACACAGAAACAGTTTTCGAATTTGTATAGTATTATTTTATTTTTACGGCACATAGAGTTGAGAAAATTCCAAGGGATGAAGTATCTATGGAGAACTCAGAGAGGCAATCTGCTGGTAGTAGAAAAAGAGCAAGACATAGTGAACCTAATCAATCTGAGAGGACAGGAACAGATGGTGACTTTGAAAGGTTTCTGATATATTATTATTCATCTAATAAACAATCCTAAATCAATTTTAAGAAAATAGTGGAACATTAAGTTTATCTATGGACATTGATTATTTGGATATCCGTATATTCTTAACTGGATATTTAATATGTACTATTATACTTAGAATTGTTATTACAGTATTACAATTGTGGCTTACTGTTGTGATCGGGAGTGAAAAATCCACCACCACCAGTATTGCAATTGTCCTAATATTTATCAAAGCATAATTTATATTAGTAAAAAGAAGAGAATGAAATTAATGCATACTAAGCACCCGAAATGCTTTTAGTTTTTTTTCTTTAATGTTTTTTTTTATATTTCTTATGTGTTAAAAGTTTTTCGAAACAGTAATCATTTGCCGTGTACATAAACCATCTTTTTTCATTTGCAGTTTGATCATTAGTAGAGATATAGTTTTTAAGTAAGGTTTCTTATACAAAAGACAAAATGCCACATCGTCTACGTTAAGCAACTATTACGACAAATTGTTTCAGAGAAAGGAAAATCATCTACTAGATCTACTGACTACGATCTATTTAACGTTTATGAGCTATATACTCTTAAATGTGTAGTACAATATGTTTTAACACCACTCTAAACAAGGATTTGATTTGGCCCTGATATTGTAATATTTCTTTTTACATGTAAACATTTATCATGGAAATAAACAAAATAAATGATTCAAGCAAACATGTAATATTTTGATACAGTAAGTAAAGTTACATCATTTTATGATAAAGTGTTGCTATGTTTCTAGCCGAATATTACTGCACTTAGTCAATGTTACCTCCAGTTTTTCACTTAGATCCTCGTATCACGCTAAAAGAATGTAGACATTGCTAGAATGTTTTGCTTTATCTCCTGAATTGGGATTTAGAATTTTAAATATCCATGTGTTTTCTTATTTTCGACGACAAAATTGATTAAATACATAGATTGTTTGACATATTAGCCATATGCTTGTATGTACAGTGATATGGACATATTCTAAAGTGCACAGAAAATGTTATCTTATTTAAAACTCATTACATAGCTAAAATATTTTAAGCATCCTGATTACTATTTCCCCTAGGGCTGACTCAGCTTTATTGGCAGATTTGCTAGTAATTGTCTTATTACTTTAGATACGAACACCAATCTAGTGCCAAGTCTCACAGAAATGCGCCGGAAGAGTTAGAACAGAAGGTGAAATTATTAAAAAAAGAAACGGAACGTCTTCAATACGAATTGCAGGCTGAAAAGACTGAAAAAGATAAAGTTTTTAAAGAGTAAGTTTTAACATACAATAGTGATCATTTATAAAATATTTGAAGGGGTTTATAGCTCAATCCATTGCAAAAAATATATTTGCAATTATATCTGGTCGTTAAATATTCACCCATAAAAGCGTATGTAAATTCTTTTATAGTGATAAGGTCACTTACGTCCATTATGAGATAAAACGAGAATTCAACATCGTTGACTACGATAATATTCATTAAAACTTAATAGCAGTTGTGAGAAAAGGTCTATTGATGGTTCGGAGGAATTGAGCAATGTTTTTAATTCATCTCAATAAGCATATTATTTTGTTTAAAACAAAGGAAGCAAACGTTGGTTAAAATAACAAATATTATTTATTGTACTCACTATGTTATTTGCTGGTACAAATTTTGGGCGGACCCACCTGTTTATTAAAGATGTTTTATTTTTCATACGCCCAAACCTAGTTTCCCTAATAATCGATACAAAATTATCAACAGCAAACATATTGGATCAAGCATTCTTATAGTCGCAACTGAGGTGAAAAGTTGACAACCTTTCTTCAAGAGTAAGAACATTTTTGTAGAAGAGATTGTTTGAGATCAATGAATATAAACCCATGTAGTTGAGAAATACCTTATTATAATCCAAGACAAAATATAGGTCCAACACTGTCTTCACTAACTCTGATAATTCATTTAACAGTAAAACAAGATATCTCCTGGAAGGTTTAATTCTAGTTTACAGATTTAAAAAACGACAAAAAGTGTTAGTATTTTGGTTGTTGTTCTATAGAAATTTCTTATGTATCTTTCAAATGTATGTTGCATGTTTGTTGTTCAATGGTCGAAACAGTTTCAATACCAATTTTGCTTGTATCAGTAGTTTTAATAGCATTAAATACATAATCTACTTTTCCCCACTGATTTCAGATTAGAGGATGCAAAGAAAGAGACGAATGCTCTTGAAGATAAGCTGAGAGATTTTCAAAAACATTCTTCGAAAGAAAAACATGATCTTGAAGAATATATCAGAAGGTCTTAAATCCATTTTATTTTTATTTTCAAAGAAAATCCGTGTCTGTATTAATAAGAATTATTTTAATGACATATTGTATCGTGGTGTAATTGTGATAATATATTATATCCGAGGATCTTACAGATAAAAATGTTACAAAACCATAAATATTTCACTTTCTTGACAGAAAATTTTAATAAAGCTGTTCCGTACTATAGACGACTTATTTCACTTATGCAATGTTGTTTTCATGTAATGTATGGAAAGACTTCGACAAGAAAAAGACAGAATAAGTGACGAAAGAGACAATAAGAGATTCAAATACGAAACTGAAAAAGAAGCAAAAGATAATGCTTTAAAGAGGTAGATTGCTTTGCCTGTTTCGTTGATTTATTTAAACATGTAATTTTCTAGCTTTAAAGGTTGCCTTCCCATTTCTTTTTCTTTTTGGTAAAGTAGCATTGTCAATGTCTAGTTTAAAAAAGTTTTGATTTCGGAATGAAAATGTTGGCTTTGTATTCGTATACATTAAGTTAATTTTAACTTTCCGACGAAAATATTTTTCAACTGTAAATAACAGTTTTAAAATATATTAAATACATGCGAAGTGATTAAAATCAGTATTGTTAGTATTCATGCTCGATGCCAAAGCTTATGAGATATTTTGATTATCCGTAAATCTAGATATTATTAATAAATGAATCGAAAGTCAAAAGACGATTATTAATACAATAAGTTGGGGACAGAGTTGCAGAAGTCAGATTAAGGGTGGAAAATAAGGTAGAGCAAGACAAAAGTTAAAAATTCCTCATACTTTTTCTACAGAATAAGATGAACGGTAAAGCTTGAATGTGTATTTTTCTTGTTCAAAGATACAAATAAAATAAAGTTTTAGCGTTTTTGAGGATTTGAAATAACAAGCCTTTTTTATTCAGTTTAGAAGATATTAAACAAGATAAACGTGCGCTTGAAGAAGAACTGGGGAGCTTTCTGAAGCAGTCTACAAGTGAAAGACATGCTGTAGAAGAAGACAACAAAAGGTTCTCAAGTTACTTTAAAATAACAAATGCAGATTGTATAGAAAAAAGTGTAACAAATTAAAACGAAACCGATATTTAGCAAATAATTATTGAACTGAATCGAAAAAGATGTTCATAAAATTCTAAGTTCAACTGTTACTTTATGCTCACTGCATCTTGATATTTTTGTGTATTATATTAATAGGCTTTCACGAGAGAATGATCATATAAGTCGTGAAAGAGACGATGAGAGAAAGCGGTATAAGACGGAAAAGGATGCAAAAGATTCTGCCCTGGCAAGGTCGGTTTGCTTTAGTGTAACAATACTTTAGATTATGCAATTTTCAATGGTCTTGCAATCAAAGATGCATATCCGCTCAAATCATATATATTCATCAACTAGGAAAGTCAATGTTTTAAGTCACACAGGTTACATTTAAGAAGATTGTGAAGTTAATATGTCAAAAAAAGATGTCATACAGAATTTAAAAAAACATAGTTAACTATTTAAACTTTGACTGTCAATAGTATAATGAACGCTGATAACATTTGTCTTTAACTTAAAACAGTTTATCGTAAAATTAATGTACATTTTTCAAACTATGTTGATTAGGTTGTAACAAGAGGAATAAATAAGTATACGAGCAAGATCTAGGTCCTAAACTTAACTTACACGCACAAGTCGATAAACAAAGGATGCAAGAAACCTGCTTGAAATCTAATTTTCTTATTTTAATCTTATTTTAATCGGTTTGGGATATTATTTTTGTTTCGGATAATTTGTTCAACTTTTCAAGGTTTTATAATACCAGATACATTTATTCTGTCTTTTTTGTGTCATTGTTTGTGATTTCAAATTAGAAGCTATAAAACGAGACAAGTTCGCTGTTGAGGAAGAGCTAAAGAAAATCGTGTTCTTTTGAAAGTAAAACCTGATTCTTGTAGTAATTGTCATGGATGGAATGAGTTTTTGTATATTAAGCATGAAAAGTGAATTGTATTTAAAAAAAACTATATCAAGCAAAGATTGCTGAAAGAGATAATCATTTATGTCTCTATAGCACTAGAATGACTGTCTAATCACTGCAAAATCGATATATATTCATTTGCTAATTGAAAGTCTTCGACAAGAAAATGACAAGATTAATCGTAAAAGAGAAAATGATCGTCACCAATTGAAGGCCGAGATGAAGGCAAAAGAGAGTGGCCTTCAGAGGTAGGTTGAACTAATGTTGCTATAACAGTGTTTCTATTCGTCTGACAAAATGAAAGTTTAGTGTCAAAATTCTCAAACAAATAATTTTCATAAGAGAAAATTATAGTTATAATGAATATTATAAACATGACGATATTAAGCTATTTTGGAGACATTTAAGTTGGAATTTCGATTGTCAGTAATGTCGGAATGTTGAAACGCTTACAATATTTTCTCTTAGACGTGATTTACAAATGATGATTCATTTTTTTTCAAAACTAAGTTAAAAATTTGCAAAAAGAGAAATAACTTTATCAAGAAAACAAACAAACTCTGTATTGAGTTATAAGGCTCATGGTCTATACATACATTTTGTGACACAGAAACAGACATTGAACAAATTGTAAAATATTTTAATGATTTTCTTTTAGACTGTGCTTGTTGTTGTATGAGAAAAACTAAATTGTACCATTCATTGTTAAAACAACCAAAATGGTTTGATAAATACTGTACTGAGTTAAAATATCAGAAAAATAGATGTCTAAGAAATTATAGGAGGAATAAAACTGAAGTATTATTTTTTGAATTTAAACTTTCTAGGAAAAGATTTAAGAACATATGTGCACAAAAAACAGGATATAATGAAAAAACAGTGAAATGATTTGATCGAAAAATGCAAAAATCCCAAAGCGTTTTGGAGAAAGGTTAAATCTATGAGTTCAAATAGAGAAAATGTTCAAAATAATATAACTAAAGATGAATAATGTTCAAAATAATATAACTACAGATGCATGGAAAATCAATTTTGAAATATTATTTAATGGTGATTGTGAAACCATTCTAGGTGATAATGACAATATTAATGATACTTTTATTGATAATGATATAAAAGATTCCATTTTTAATGCAAAAATTACTGATGAAGAAATTTTGTATTCCGTTAACCAGTTATATGATACTGGTAAATTTCCAATCTCATGGGGAAAATCAATTATTGTAGCTATCCATAAAAAGGTGGATTGCAATAAACCAAGTACTTATAGTGGTATTTCACTTCAAAATGTATTACGAAAAATTTATACTTGTTTCCTTACTTAAAGAATAACATTTTATGTAAATTTCTTTGATAAAATAAGAGAGCCTCAAGCAGGTTTTCGTGAGGGAAATTCTACCACAGATAATTATTTTGTTCTTCAAGCTTTTGTAAAAAAACAACTGTAAAAAAGGTGGTAAACTGTATGTGGCCTTTGTGGATTTTATGAAGTGTTTTGATTTAATAAACAGAAATAAGCTTTGGGAAATATGTCGACAGAATGGTTTTAAAGGGAAGTTGTATTCAGCAATAGTTAGTCTATATAGTTCTGTACAAGCTTGTGTTAGAACAAATAATGGTTTAACAGAGTATTTTGATTGTCATATAGGCTTAAAACATGGTTGCTTAGGGTCCCCAATACTTTTTGTTATTTTTATTAATGAATTTGTAAAGGAAATAGAAAATTGTCAGCTAAAAGGTATTCAGTTGTTTCCAGATGTTACAGAAAAATTGACATTATTATTTGCAGATGATTTAGCCCTGACTACAGACACTGTTAATGGACTCCGGAATCGAAATTGCTTGATTTGTTAAAACAATTTGTGATCAACACTTTGTCAAGGTTAATCCTAGAAAAACTAAGGTTATTTTTTTTTTAAAAAAAGGGGTGGGGGACTAAGTATGCATGAAAAGTGTTTTTTTTTATGATAACAGATTAGAAACTGATTCAAAGTTTTCATATGTAGGCAAAACTTCACAAGCATGTCTTTTTCTTATATGGCACAGGACCAAAGTATCAAAACTAAACGAGTTCTTATATCTATTCTAAACAAATTGTATGAGTATGGACACCTTCCAAAACATGTATTTTTCGAAATATTTGATACAAAAATCAGTCGAATTTTGTTATATGAGAGCGAGATTTGGGGTGCAAGTGAGCAAAAATTCACTGATTCCATTAAAAATTATGCATGTAAAAGATATATGAGCCGTGTCATGACAAAACCAACATAGTGCGTTTGCGACCAGCATGGATCCAGACCAGCCTGCGCATCCGCGCAGTCTGATCAGGATCCATGCTGTTCGCTATCAGTTTCTCTACTTGTAATAGGGTTTGTAAGCGAACAGCATGGATCCTGATCAGACTGCGCGGAGGCACAGGCTGCTCTGGATCCATGCTGGTCGCAAACGCACTATGTTGGTTTTGTCATGACACGGCTCATATGTGTCTTAGTCAAAAAACAATTTATATAGCTATTTTGGGGGATTGTGGCAGATATTCAATGTTTATTACAACTGCTAAATGAGTTATTAAATATTGGTGTAGAATCTTAAAGATGGATGAACAAAGATATGTAAAAAAGCATACAATATGATAAAATGTTTTGATAACTATGGACAAAAAATTAGGTTACATATGTTAAAAATTTACTTATGAGAAATGGATTTGGTCAAATTTGGTTGATCAGAGTGTACCCAATGAAAAGTTATTCATCAATTTACTCTTAGACTTAAGTATCAGTATCTTCAAACGTGACATTCTGATATTGGAAATAGTTCTAAACTGTTATTGTATGCAAATTATAAGTTAACTGTCGAACATGAAATATATCTGGATTGTGTAACAAATAAAAAATTTAGAAATGCATTGGGTAAAATAAGGAACTCTTCACATGACTTAGAAATAGAAAGAGGGAGGTATTCTAACACTGAAAGAAATCAAAGAATATGCAAACTTTGTAATACTGAAATGAAACTGAATTTCATTTTGTTTTAAAATGTCCTAGATTAACCTCCTTTGGAGAGAAATATAGCCCATCTAAATTCTATCTGTCCCCTAATATTAATAAGTTCAATATTTTGATGTCATAGAAAAATGTAGATATTATAATGAGATTGGCTGTGTTTGCATATTGTGCTTTTCAAGAACGTAAAATGATGCTAAATGAAATTGTTTAAATATGTAAGTATTTATGTATCTACACATTCGAGTGGGTAATTACTATACATATACCGGTATGTTAAAATAGTTTATTTCTGTCACTTTATATACATTAATACTAGTAGTTATAAATTGTATTGGATCTATATAGTACACTGGCACTACATCATGAAATGCTTGTAATGTATATGTTTTGTTGATATGGGCCGGAAGCCAAAATCAAATAAATCTTTTGTCATAGTCATTCTCATACATTTACAACTGTAAAGCACATTGTAATATAGCGAGACAACAATATAAAGGTCAGAAATTTCGCCTATATCAAAGAGTTAACTGCAAGATATCTTTTCCGGCCGAAGGTCGGTCTGTTTTCAGTTTGACTTCCTGTAAAACCTACAGAGAAGAATTTATTATTAAAAGAGTTTTCATTTGTCATTTTAAAATTACAAAATGATCTTGGAATCTCATTAGCCATTCTATACTAAAATGTAAAGGATAGTCCTTTCGTTTATGAAATAAAATGTAAAGAATAGTCCTTGCAATGCGTATATGAAATAATAAAATGTGACGGATAGTTCTACAATATGATGTACAGGATAGTTCTTTAAGTTTCCAGTTAAATTGCTCAGATATTTAAGTTTTCTTTATCAAAACTTCTTGCATTCATATCTCTTTACATTGTCTAGTTAACAGTTTATTTACCGTAAGAACTTATTAATATATTATTACACAAGATCTGAATTTTAATATTTGTCCAAAATATCGAGAAAAATATATCAGAACTCACCAGGTACCCTTGCTTTATGATGTTAAATAAGTGTCAAAAATATTTTATATGATTAATGATGTGTTCAGTTGACTAAATGTTTATTTTATATATATTTTTGCATATTAATGAAGTTTTTATAAAAATAATTGCCTTACCGACTGGTAGATGTTGGTGCTAGAAATTGATTTCAATCACCGAAACACGACTGGTCTGTTTAGAAACACATACAAGTGTTCTATTTTTACACGCCCGTTTGAAAAACGGGTCGATTATAGTTTCCACATTGGCGGGCGGTCTGGCGGACGGATGAGTTGTCGGGCGGCCGGGCAGCGTGCAATATTTTGTCCGGAGCATTTCTTCCACATGCATGGATGAATTTTAATCAAACTCCATAGTCATATTAACCACTATGAGAAGCTCAGTGGCACTCATGAATCAGGTCAAAGGTCAAAGTCACACTTAGAGGCCATTGAAAAAAGCTTGTCCGGAGCAAAACTTCTACATGCATACAGGGATTTCAACTTATTTTTGCACAAATGTTCACCATTGTGAGGCAGAGTGTCAAGTGCAAAATGTTTGGTCCCTGTGGCCAAGGTAAAAGTCACACTGTAAATGGGGGTCAAAGCTCAGATTAAAATATGAAAATGTGTATTCGGACCAATTAGTCATCATTTATTGAGGGATTGAAACACAAATGGTCATTATCATGACTACTGGCATAAAACTAGTGATTTTATATATGCAAGGTCATAGTCACTGAGGATATAGTGTCGCGCACATAAAACAGGTCTCTAGGTCAAAGACGCATAATGGGATTTCAATACACTTTGGCACAAATGTTCACCATTGTGAGGCGGAGTGTAAAATTGAGGTTCCCTGTGGTCACGGTCACACATAGGGGTCAAAGTTTAGATCATATATGAAAATGTGTATTCGGACCATTTCGTCACCATTTATTGAGTGATTGAAACACAAATGGTCATTATCATGACTACTGGTATGAAACTAGTGATTTAGGTTAATGTATGCAAGGTCAAGGTCACTATAGATGCTATTCAATGTCACTAAAGATGATAAAATATAGAGATTTTTTCCAGAGCATATCTCCTTCACATAATTATGGAGCGATTCTATTGAAACTAATGATTCTAATAATACAAATGTTCACCACTATAAAATTTAAAGTTCAAAAAATTCCACTACTCGAGAATCAGATTTATTTGTGAAGTATTCGGTAATCGACATCGCTTAAAATAGCATTTTCATTGATTAAAATCATATCCATCCGCGTAATTTGTGATTGAGCATTTATTGATAATTCTATAAGCCAACGCTACTTTTAAACTTTGAATGCGTTGTAATTTGTTGGATAATTGTAACAAAACAAGAATATTCTTTCTTATAAATCGCTAGTTTTAAACTGTTTTGAGAACTACTTGTTGTTAGGTTTGTCGTTAACCGTTGTGTCAGAGATTGAATGTCAGCTTTGTATTTCCTGATCTTCGATCCGAAAATACAAAAACAGAGTCATACACATGAATTAGGTCTTCAGATCAAAGTCACCTTTAGAAGTCATTAAAAAATGCTTGTTCGGAGCAAAACTTCTGCAGGCACAGGGATTTCAACATAACTTTGCACAAATGTTCACCATTGTCGCGTGCAAAATTTATGGTCTCTGTGGCCAAGGTCAAAGTCACACTGTAGATGGTGGTCGAAAATCAGATTAAAATATATAAATGTGTACTCGGACCAATTAGACATCATTTAATGAGGGATTGAAACACAAATGGTCATTATCATGACTACTGGCATAAAACTAGTGATTTAGGTTAATATTTGCAAGGTGAGGGTCACAAGAGACGATAAAATATCTAGATATTTTCGGGATATTGCCGATAGCATATCTTCTATATGCATATCTATAATGCCCACATCTCTGTCTAAAGCTTTTGTGACGGGCGTATCTTTCGACAATGTTGCCCTTGTTCAAGATTAAAAACGCTAGAAGAAATTATAATGTCATTGTTATGCAAGCTATGCTAACATTTCTATGTAACTTTGCATGGGAAACTAACAACTAACATATGCAAGTTAACCATTTTTACTACGGCCGAGTATCTTTTTTAAAGATATTTCTTTTTTATACGTCCGTTCGAAAAATAAAAGTATGGAACATTTTGTCCCATTACAGATTAGAAGAAATGAAACGAGAGAAGTGCGCATTTGAGGAAGACTTAAAGAGTCTTATAAATCAGTCTTCAGATGACAAATTAGCTCTTGAAGAAAATATGAAAAGGTAAAAATGCTTAAGCGTATCACAGACGCTTGGGGTCAGATCCTGCCTCCCAACGTGATACGCCCCTGTAAACACTGTATCAAAAATATTTTAATATTTAAACACGAATTGGACATCTGTTACAACGATAGAACTGGGCAGAATCTGACCACCAAGAGTCTGTGAATCGTATCTTGAAAGAAAGACGCCTGTTCGTTTTGTTTAAACGTTAGAATTTAAGAATAAAAAGTGATGAATAAAATACAAAATCCACGAATTTATAAAACAAAATTAAATAAAATTATTTATATATAACAGATGATAATTACCAAATGAATGTTTAACTAAATTGAAAGAGTGGAAGAAATATTCATTAAAGTATTTCTAGCACATTTGTACATTAAATGACTATGTTCACTGTAAATTGGTTTATTTTCATTAGGGAGATATGTCTTATATAGTGAAAACAGTGCCTCCAAAACTACATTTATACAATTCAATTTCCCAACCTTTCTTGATGTTTTGTTCGTCGATAAAATAGAGAAGAATTGACAAACCTGCATAGACTTTGATATACAGCGTACAAAGAATTTTGCTGGAAGTTTAAATTTCTTTCTTTAAGAATAAAGATATTGTTTTTTTTTCATTTCTATATTTCGTATGTTGCTGTGTTATTGCTTTGTTTTCTTGTACAAGGCTATATATAAGGTATCTAGTCTTTATGTTATGCATGTAAGTTTGTCGGGTAAAGGACGAATGTTTGAACACTTGGGAATAAGTGATGCTTGATCAACCATTCAAGGCTTAATTATGTCAGACACATTTACCCTTTTTCGTATCACATTGATATGCACCTTTCTGGGGTTTTTTGTTGTTTTTTTCATATTAGAAGAAGAACTAAAACATCACAAAACACAGTCTTCATTTGAGAGGTTTGCTCTTGAAAAAATTATGAAAAGGTATGAAGGTTAAAATAGATTTTTAGATAATCTCTTGATCGTTGAAGGTGAGGATTCGAAATGAAAATTCTGTATCTGGTCATCTTTGTGAATGCATATTTATTCCACCTTTTAGCCATTTAATTTCCACGTTCATATCTTCTGGGAAAAAAATATGCGGCATTGTTAAACGGAAATATCAGAAGTATCGACAATTGGTTGATACTTTTGATTAAAGAATGCTTACATTTTTAACTCTTACTTATAATTCAGTGTCTTATTTAAATGCATTATCAATAACATGGATGTAAGAGGGATATTGTCTAAGTGGACTATTGTCTCAGTGGGTCATTGTCCTAGTGGGCTATTGTCCTAGTGGGCAATTTTCTTAGTTGGCTATTACCTTACACTCTGATCTTTCAATATTCATTTAGTTGTATATCATTTGTTTAATACATTGACAAATGTATTCAAAGACGCTGATAAGTACTAAGTATCATATTCTGTTCAATGACGTTATCTTTGTGTATTGTATCAATAGGCTTCGACAAGACAATGATAATATAAGTCACGAAAGAGAAAATGAAAGAAAACAGTATATGGCCGAAAAAGAGGAAAACGAAAATACACTGAAAAGGTAGGTTTGTCTTCAATGATATACGTTAATATTTCAATATTCATCATTTCAAAGATGCTTCGTTATTCCAGTATTTTTAAAAGAAACTTGGGCAGAAATAGAAACTTATTTGTAGAGCTTTACATTTTCGTACTTAAAAACTGAAACAACTGTAGTAACCTATACAAAAAAGTAGATGAAACTTTATTTTTGAAAGGATGAAGCATGAGCGAGACAAAGCAATACAACAATGTCAAGCTGAAAAAGCGGCAAAGGATGATGTCCTTAGCAGGGTCTTTTCATATTATTATTACTTATTTTGCAAATTGTATGTTTTTACGCGCACATGCTTCGTTGGACTTCGGAACGATGCAACTTGTAGCAAATTATAAATGGTATCAAATTTTATATCGACATATGTTAAAAAGGAAAACATAAAATAGTGTACAAAAGAAATAATCTAGTACTGTTAAATCACTTCATAGCTCACTTGGTCTCTTTCAAAAATAATATTCCACTGTATGTTTCAATAAAAAATGCCATCAAAAGATATAAATAAGCATCATTGGTTTTCTTAAAATTCCTCGTTAATTTATTCTGGAGATAGTGTCAGGATTGAGAGAATAAATTATTATTTCGTAAATTGTTACATTTTAATGATGAATGTGTTTCAAGATCAGTTTCAGCCATTTCTTTTTTTTTTCAATATGGAACTATAAATAATCGATTTTTGGATATCAAGATGACAATTTAATTATTAAGCCAAACGTATACACGCTGGTAAGACTGCATGAATGCACAGGTTGGCCTTGCTCTCTAGGCAAGGGCGATTTGCTATTACATGTATCAGTTTAAAGTTCGAACGAAGTTGTTATGCATAAGAATTAAAGTTTTTATGCTAACTATATTTGGGGATAAGTTGCTGAAAATAACTGCAAGCTTGTTAATAATTCACTATCTATCAAAATAATTAACTTAAGTGGTAATTGATAAATTCACATATTCAGTTTTTTCTCGACAAATTGGGATATATTTATGTTATTCTATGTTAAAATATTCAGCACATTGGCCTCAAGCAGAGATAACAATCTGAATATCACTGATCTAAGTGATCCAAACAGACCCACAAGAATAGCTGAGAAAATGGCCGAGTTGTACGACAACCAGTGGACAGATGCATTTGATGCTTTGGAGCAAACAGATAAAAATGAGAAGGAAATCATAAACATGCTTTTGGAATCATTGATGGTAATATAAATGCATTTGGCTATGTGATGCAAACGGCACTGCACCAAAGTTTGTCAATGACTATATGTATATGTAGTATTTGTTTTTCCATAATAATAAACTATTCATTCATTTTTCATCAACCCTCATTTTATACAATGTCAGTACTGTTAAATGTAACCAAAACAATGAAACGTATTTTATATTTCTAACGTCCGTAACATTTTCATGTTTTTCTCCAAAAAAGTTAAATAACAAAATCTAACAAAATCTATTTTCACTTTCAAGGCCGGAATAACCATGAAAAATGCCTTGTCTTTATCATTTTATAGGTTCAGCAATTTTAAATATGAATGCATATAACTAATGCATAGAAATGTTAACTTATGTGACCAATTAAAATATTTTTAATGACTATTTACATTCATATTTCAGACAGCGTATGGTGAATGTTTTAATCTAGCGAACGAAAACTTTTTTGAAAAGGTCCAAAGGGTTATAGAATGTCCGAAACTAGTAAGTAGTCAATGTTACACTTACTGCAAAACGTAAAGAAACGTTTTCTGTCTTTCAAATGTTTGACCAATCATTGTGTGCTGCGAGGTAATGTGAAATAACGGATTATGAGACTATTCATTGCAGAATTTCAGCACTAAATGTAACAGACTATCAATATCGACAGACACTATTTGTGTTTTACTTTAAAGGAAAGGATTTAAGGCAATCGAGAGTAGTCTTACTTTCGCCGTAGTCTTTTTCTTAAACTGACCTATTTAGCAGAAGAACAACAAATATTCCATTAAAATTTACCAAAAACAGCTATTTTCGTTTATTACAATATACAATAACATTCACAGTTTTCCGAAATAATAACGTCAAGGTTTAAACATTATTTTTGGCAAACATTATTTACGCCTGCTGGCGTGCAAAAGGAAACATCTTGATCATGAGATTCTGTTCTTACAACTCAGGTTGATAAACAATTGCCCACTCGAGTCGTCATATCAGACCAGTTAAAAAAAGAAATAAAGGAATTTCGAAAAAATCAGGCAACAAAAGTTTGGAAGGAAATTGAGGGGGTAAGTTTGTGAAATTTTAATCAGCTTTCATTTTAGAAATTTTGAAAGTTTTATAACTAATGTACTCCGCTTTAAACTTTATGAAAAACTCAAGATGTTTAAAAAAATGTACAATTATTAGTATTGAAAAGGATGGTCTACCAGTTAGCCATACTTAATTTTCCTTTTAAGAAATCTTAAAGATTATTTCCGCAAGTTATGCTTTTTTAATAAAGTGTGTCTTTAATTTTATCAATTTTCAATTGCAGATTGTTTTGCCAAAAATTCAACTTTCTAGTTACCATCAACAAGATATCGATTCCTATCTCTCGCTTTGTGTTGAGATAAGTTGGCTAATGGTTGTCCAGGATCCACCTTTAGTTCTAAATGATAAAGCACAAGACAGATTTGACACGAATACATTCAAAGACTACACAAAACGTGGTCCGATTGTGGAGTTTGTTGTATGGCCAGCACTGCTACTGCACGAATCTGGTCCTCTTTTAGCCAAGGGTGTAGCCCAGGGCTGCACCAGTCACACTTAAGTAACCAAAATGACCAAGCAAACACTGAAAGGAAATTATTTACACAGATTACGGGACCATTTCAAACGAGAGATAAAAGCGACCAAGATCAAACCAGACGTATGACTCCTACATTCAGTGCCACGACTGGTACTAAACCACCAGTTGTAGTCTCAGAAACATTTAAACCACCACCTGATGGTGATGAATAACTATAAACTAATAAAAATAAAGTAAATGCATAACTTATAACATGTAGTCTAGTAAACTTATGAATTGCATTTTGTACAATTTATAACGTAATCAGAATATTAGAATTCGTTTCATTTACTTTATCGTGTGTGTGAAAAGCACTGCTGAATTGTGTATCCATTCTGTTTAAGATTTTCATATAATACACCTACATATTTTACATGTACATTGTTATTATAAATAACTTGCTTGTGATTGTACTTCAGCAGGAGCAAAAAAATGATACGATACGGTCGATTGAACAACCCAACATATGTTAGTTAAATGATCTTTTTCGAAGATATATTTTGATGATGTATTTGAATTAATATAATTGATGTGATCATAAAAACCAATAGTTTAGATTTAAAGCTTATTAATTCTGTCACTTTAGTCTCAGTAAATATAGCTGGCAGTTTAGTTAGTTTAAAATACCTTATTTATCAAATTTACAAGCATGTAACATTTTTACATCACAATATATCAATTTGAAAACAAGCATACCACTTGTATTTATTCTTTTCAATGATGAAGTTTCGTCTTTATTATTTCACATATTATATGATCAGCTAGCATTTTTACACATGTATTTAAATACAGTCAATGAAAATGTAACATAAGTTGCTGCATCCGATATTTTGCGTTTTAAGTCTCAAAGAGAGAACTGACATAATTGGTAGGACATTGGTGACTTATGTTGTTATATTTCCGAGTGAGATAAAGTCACAACCGATCAGTCAGTCATTTAAAATCCATTTCAGTAGCTGGCGTTTTCAAGTACATATACATGTACATGAAGCTTTTTTTAAAACATTCATGGATGATGCATGAATGAAGGTATAAATCACTTTAACTCAAGAAATATAATAGTTTTAATATGCATTTGTAATAAGTTAAATAACATTTTGTTTTCCATGCAGATTATCCTGTATTATCGCAAAAGAAGATCATTTACTTGAATTCGTACCAACATTAGCCGGCAGTATGGCAGAGGGAACAAAATGTCATAAGCCTGCTGAACAAGACATTATTCTTCGTTTACTTCAGTTTGCAGATATCCGCATTCCAGAAGAATCTGAATATGCACCGGAAGGTGTCATAACCCCTTAACTTCACTGGAAACGAAAGTAAAACAATTGAATATCAGAAATATATCATCGACGGATATTTGAACAGAGAAGAGATTCTTAACTCTTTAATTACAAAATTAGAAAGGGAGCTTTCATTGGTGTCATACTGGTCTGGAAAAGAATGCATTAACATTTACCCATCACATTATCCATCAGCAGAGCTTAAACAAGCAATTGACACAGATGATATTTGTAATCTAAGATTCGTTGGCATGGAAAATACTATAAACAAATCCACCTTTCGATAGATATTGTACCTGCAATCATAATACGAAATTGGAAACCGGACGATGCAACATCCATCGATCCAACAGGAGGTGCAGTTCCAAATGAAACATTCCTTATTCTTCGAGCATTCATCGAGACTGACGGTCGAATACGATCTAGAGATACATGGTGAATTAAATCCTGACACAGAAAGGTCGGATGCAGGGCCAAAAATGTAATATAATTGAATGGTAACGATTGAGATTCGGGAAGCGGTTGCTTATCAGAAAGAAGTGACGATGATAACGACAAAGAACAAGTAAATTCAACAAACACCTTTACACCACTTTTATGGTAAGGGAAATAAAGGAAGACTATTGATGCTCGGCTCCAAGAGACTTCTGAGACACTGCGATGCATATTTCAATGAAGTAAATACAATTCAAGAACCATATAAAAAGGAAAGAAACGACTAAAGATGACTTAATAAAATAACATCAATTCAGGAAGCCCCGACAATCAATGACAATAATTTTTTTTCCAATTCCGCTGAAATAGATATGAAAGAAGAAGGCAAGAAAAACAGAAATGAAGAAACGGTCCATAAATACACAGTTGACAAAAATGTGTCATCTACATCAAGATAGAGCAAAGCTTGTAGAAACTAAGTTAGTAATCGTAAACGACGTAATAGCGTTTGTGGCCTGACAGACATTGGCGTTAACATTAATGCAGCTAATCACGATTCAACAATTATATAGAAAATAAAGACGCAAAGGAATTCTTTGAAAACATTCAATATAAGTTTGCTAAAATACAGAAAAAAATGCAATGAAAGTGAAGGTACTTGTAGAAAATACGATGACGGTACAAGAAATTGGAAACAGTGAACATGAAGAAAATACCCACGATTAATTAATCAGAAATGAAATTTTGAAATAAAGTGGGATACGAAGATTTCCGCGATATACTGGAACCTTAAACAGATCTTTATCATTCAGGGTTCATATGCAGCGATTATGACAGTAATGAAGATAATACAGGGCTGGATGATCTCAATAGCGACCCGCCACGCGAAGACATGGGGTTAAAAATTTCATACAGTAAGTGGAAAAATGAGACGATGGCAAAGTTTCCAAGCTGCATCAAAGTTGCATATATGCTTAGCAAAATTCTAGTTTCATATGCTCCAAGAATAAGAAATCCACTCAGTAGAGGAGTTCGTAAAGTAAACGGTTATGGTTCTGTTAAAGACATGTTCAGCTACTTGCTAAAAATGGCACTTTTCCACGTAATTCGGAAACACAGGGATCGTCTTACAATCGATGATAAAACAAAAGAAGATGGCTCTTAGCAAAACAAAACAATCCAAAAAGGACTGTAATAATGTTGATGTGCAGATATTCTACACAAGGACTGGAGATCACTGAACACCATAAATATAGCCAACTTCAGAGCATTTTTTTCAGTTCTAGATTAATAAATGATGTTGTATTTTGGGTAGAAAATCTGTTTTCTGAGATACAGACTTGTCAGGAAACCTTTGCGCTTACTTTGATCCAAAGTTGAACATTTTGGACAGAATAGCAACTAGTGGAAAGCAAAAAAACAGTCCTTTACCTTCCCTGCTGTATCTTCGAAAACATTGTAAAATGATCAGAGCATAAGTATGTATAAAACACAAAGAAACCTACCAAACAGACTGAAGGAATGAGTTTCAAATTTAATAACTGCGAGCACGTAATTTCAGATATTTAAGAAGTATGTTATCATCAATTGGAATTTTGACACAAAAACTGCAACTGTTCATTGTGAGCAGATTTTATAGTCAGTGATACATTAAGCATCAATAACTATTCGCGAAATGATTGCTAATTTTTGAACTTTCAATTGTTGCAGAAGCTGTTTTATCACAACAGACATTTATCATGACAAAAAAATCTTAGAAAATAGGGGACAAGTTTAAGACATCGTGGAAAATAAATAATCCAAAGTATCAATTCAAAATGATTTAGATTATATGAAATACAAATGTTTTGAAGGTCGTTTTGTACCAAATTTCGTTTCCGTATTAATTCTTTTTTTCACCTTCATCTTTAAAACTTTCTTTTGTTCATGTTAATATAAATGCTCATTGTATCATCAGAATTGTTCTTTATATTATAGTATTAACCGGAATTCAACATAAATTTACATTTCATTTACATTACAGTTTAACAAAAATTTACATTTCAACCAATTTTTTACAAATATCATAGTACCTACTTTTATAAAATCTAGTAGGGTTATTTATAAGATTGTCTATTTCAAATTGGAACTGTCCATTGGCAGAATTAAGGATTTTATTTCAAAATAATAAAATTAAACAGCCTACAATTTAGAGTACGAACTGACGGCCAATTCACTTTCATCATAAACATAATAACTATAGTTTATCCTGCTACTGTCTATATTATCAGCTTGATAAAGCCTTGCCGGATAAACTTATCTATCACCAGTCAGTACGTCACATGGTTAAGCAATGCGTATGGATACCAACTATTTCACGGACTACTTTCTTTCATACTTTCCCACGCTCTGATTTGGTCAAATTAAAGATTATTATGGCTTATTTTATGTTTCTTGTCATAATGATTAATAAACATTCATTCATGTACATATGTTGTTTATTTAATATTTTACCCCTTTTAAGCCTGATAATTTTACTTTTATATATTCAAGAATGAATTATGCATGCTGGGTATTAGTTCGCTACTATTTTGCAATGCACACTGGGATTCTATTATCGTCTGCAATACTAAACAATGTCAGATTACCTCAGTCAAACAACTTTTGATATTATATGGCACGATTTATTTCCTGCAAATGATACTGATGACAGTAATCAAACAGAAAATGTTGTTGAAATATCTTGAGAAGCTTTTTTTCAAAAATATGTGGTAGATATATCTGCCTTTGATGATGATTTTGTTGAATCGCATGATGAAAAAAATCCATCAAATGTAGAGTTTGATACAGTAGAGTTACCTGTTTCACAAGAGTGACACTACAGTGACAAACAATGATATCCCCTCTGTAGCAGAGAAAACAAATGAGTTTATCAGTCTCTCTGACAGTGATGTATTGCAATTAATCAAAGATTCCGAAAACAAGCAAACTATTAAGAAGACCAATCTTGATGTTAATAAATTCACCAGATTTCTAAAGGGCAAAAATGAAACAAGAGATTTACATAATATACCACCTGAGGAAATGGATACATATTTGGCAAATTTTATTTTGTCAGTGAGAAAAAATGACGGCTAAGAATATGAGCCAACAACTGTTCGAAACATTATTTCAAGCATTGACCGAAAACTGAAGGAAATGAAATACCCGGTGAAATTAATGCAAGAATCTGGAACAAATTTCTTTAACATGACCAGAAATTCTCTTAAAGCTAAACAAAAGTCACTTAAGAAAATGGGAAAGGACAACAAACCTAATGCATGCAACCCAATCAGTGATGATGACATCAATAATTTGTATGAAAAACATGTGTTAGGCAGCAGAACACCACAAAGTTTATTAATCACAGTGTGGTTTAATAACTGTATTAATCTTGGGATTAGAGGAACTACAGAGTGTAGAACACAACGGCTAGTCATGCTACTTTCCCCTTTAGACTTTTTCTTCATTTGACCTAGTATTTCTATAAGACTCTATATTATTCTTGCATAATATACTTCAAAAATTAAAACATTAGGTCTATTCATGACCAGGAAAGTACGTCCCTGCTGAGATTTGAACTCAGAACTCTTTCCTCAAGTTGGAAAGTGTTTTTCATTAAACTACAAGAACATATTACTTTACTGGCTTAGTTCACCTTTAAACATTGACATTAAAATAAATGAGTTCAACAAATCTAATATTAGGCAAGATTCTTGCTAGTGTAATCTTTTATGTAACAAGTTCATTAAATATAGTAATGAAACTACTGTACTGTACATACATACAATTTAGAAATATAAATATGCGAAGCAGTGATTTAATCGCTAGATAAAATGATTATTAGGAGTTCAGGTTCGAGGAATTATAATAATCATAATGATATGCATTCAAACAACAACAAGTGATGTTATCACCAATTTTGATATATTGATTTGGTTATATTATTTCTAT